CACAGACACCCAGCTGTCCTGGACCAAACCTTCTTGCTGTTACCCCTCATGAGTGCCCCCACAGAGGAGCAGCGTCCTCACCTTCTGGGCTCCACAGTTCTGGACAAGGTGGCTGCTGTTAGGAGCAGCAGCCCTCTCACGTTTCCAGAGGGACATGGGGTTCCAAAGGGTGCTGTCCCTGTCCCTGTGCCTGCAGCCCCCTCTACAGCCCTGTGGTGTCACCAGGTTGGCTTGAACTCCTGGTGAGTCCCTACCTAAGTGTTTCAATTCCCAGGCCTGGATCCACCTGCAGTTTTCACAGGAAGATGCCAGGTGAGCCAATGAGGCAGGTGGTAGAAAGGCGGAGACCCGGTTCTTGAAGCCTTCTGAGCATGGGGTCTCCCTGTGCTTTAGGGGTGCTTCCTGCCGCTGGCAGTGACCACAGGACCGACCCCAGCTCAGTCTTAGGATCCGGGGGACTGGGGCAAGTGTTTAGCTTCTCTGGGCCTCCACTTACAAGCTGGCTGCCACAGATCTTGATCTGCTCACTGATTCCTGTAAATGCTAAGGAGGCCAACTTCGGAGGACCCAAGAATTATTAACCACTGCTCAGACCTAGGTGAAACTCAGAATAAACTGCTGTACTGACCAATGTCGGTTAATTAACTCAGCATTAGAAATGCAGCTGAGGGGCTGGGGATTTAGCTCAGTGGCATAAGTGCCTGCCTTGCAAGCAGGCAGTCTCGAGTTCGATCCCCGATACCGATAAAAAGGAGAAAGACAAAAAAAAAAAAAAAAAAAAAAAAAAAGAAATGCAGCTGACCTGAAAATCTGTCCTGGCTGGTGCATCCTCTCAGGCCAAGAAAGGCCACCTAAGGAGCCAGGCCTACGTAGTAGTCCTCTCCCAGTACTCAGGAGGCTGAGGCAGGAGGATCACAATGAGTTCTGGACTCCAGAGTGAGACCTTGTCTCAGAAAAATAAAAAATAAAAACCCACTTCTTAAGGAAGCAAGAGGCATTATGGTTAACCATTGTTGATAACCTTGTACTCTGTTTTTACACCATGTGCTATGTCTATCCTTGGTTTTGACTGACAGCTTTTTTTTATCATGTTTGATTTTATTCTCTTATAAAAAAGTGATAAGATCTATGGGAGCAATAAAACCCAAAATGTATAAATTTTGTTGTAATAAAGAGAGGGGAAAAAAAAGGTGTCCTAAAGGATGCAACAGCAAGCGTGTTTAGGTGTGTTAAATAGATGACCATATTAATATTTTTGTTTGGATCATTGAACACAACTATTTGCAGTCTCACGGTTTGAATGGTCACTTTGTATGCTTTGGTCCTGGACCTGAATAACCGTTTCAAAAATGATAGTGTGTAATCTATTAAGTGGTGATATCTTACTGTTTTTTTTTTTTTTTTTTTTTTTGTATTCTGTATTACTTGTACCCTTACACTGTTTTGTTTCTGTTTTTTTCTTTTTCCTTTTAAATAAAAACCCAGGCATGGGTTGACAAGCATTCGTTCTGATTTAGGGTTTCAAAGGCCTATGTACAGCAAAGCAAAACATACATCACTTCCACTGATCTAACATAAAGAAGCCAGCAGCTAGAATTACTTACAGCACGTGGCCTATGTGGGTGATTAGAAGGGGTGTGCACCGCAGGCTTCCTGCTGCACCCCACACACCTCACTTCTCAGGATGGTCAGCATGCCTGTGCTTGCTGGGGGCTCACTGATGTGGTGGTGGTGTTGAAGTGGCCCCGGGGGCAGGGCGACCACTGGAAGTGCCTTGGGGGTGTCTGCATCAGGCTGCTGCAACCCACTGGATCCCTGAATCCTTGAGGCTCACAATGCTTTGTCATTTTGCACACAACCTTGTCTAATGAATCCTTCCAACTACCCAAAGAAACAGACAAGACAACCCTGTGTGAGCCGGGCATGGTAACACACACCTGTGATCCCAGCACTTGGGAGGCTAAGGCAGGAGAATCACCACGAATTTGAGGCTAGCCTGGGATTCAGTGAGATGCTTTCTCAAAAAACAAAAGACAAAAAAGTGTTTCATGGACGCAGACAGTTTACTGAGGAGAGGCAGACGTGCCAAGGCCCATCGGCAAGGATAACCCTAGAGAGGCTCTCACTAGACTGGGAATTCTGCACTATTTATTCACAGGCACCTGGCAAGTATCAGCTGCTGTTCTCCCAGCTGCCCTCCCCTGGTGAGCTGTCCCAAGTCCCTGCCTGTGCAGCTCGTAATGAGGTTGAAGAGGTTCACAAGCTAAGGCTACTCAGCACAGCACTGTCACATGGAACACCGTAGCCTGCTGTGGTGACAGAGGGATACTCCAGAGCTACACCAGGGGCCTTCAGTCCCAGTCTGCCACATCAAATGCCAGCGTTCCTCTTCTATATACAATGGGGATCGGCCAGGCACGGGTGTCGCAGGCCTGGGATCCCAAGGCTCAGGAGGCTGAAAGCCAGCCTGACACACGTGGTCAGTTTAGCGGCAGCTTGAACTGCAGAGTGCCATCTTGAAAAAGCCAAACCACAAGGAACAACACAAACAAAACAAACTGGCTCCCCGTTTGGCAGCTCCACAGGTGGCTAGGGCAGGCCTTCAGGAAGCTGGCACGGATGACCTAGAGCAGCTACAGGTGACACCAGGGTCCCGGGGACGAGACTGGCAGGACAGGGCGGTCCTGCGGGCCGGGGGCCGGGAGTAGCCTGGCACCAAGGGGACGACGGGGATCCCGGCGGCTGCGGGCGCGGCTGTGAAGCAGTGGTCACGCAGCTGCTCCCCGCGCCGCAAGGTCAATCGGGAGCTGCCCGCAGCTAGGATGCACCCCCCCCCCCGCGGCTTCCGGAAGCCCCGGCCGCCCCCTGCCGGCCCGCGCAGCTTGCAGGCCGGTTCCGGGCAGGCGGCAGCCGAGCCGCTGAGCCCTGTGTCGCCATTGCCGGTTGGGAAGTCGGTGACCACACGTGCTCCTCGGCCCCCGGGTGCACTGCGAGTCCTGCTGGCCGCAAGGCGCCCTGCCTGACCCTGAGGCTCCCGGACCGCCAGGGCGGCTTGGAGGAGAGGGCGGGGCGAGGTGCAAGCTGCCGGACTTTCACAGCCTGACCCAAGCTTTCCTGTGCCTCCTCCTCTCGGTCCCACCCCTCCAGCTCAGCTTCCATTCCACTTTTTATTCCTTTATAAAGTGCAGAGCACCTGAGATTACAGCTCCGGCCAGGCACACACCTGTAATCTCAGCTCCTCAGGAAGCTGAAGCAGGAGGATCTCAAGTTGGAGGCCAGCCTGAGAAATTGAGATCCTGTTTTTTTTTTTTTTTTGAAATGCTGGCCATGTAGCTCAGCAGTAGAGCACTTGCCTAGCATGGGTCTAATCCTCACCACTCCAGGAACAAAACTTGACTGCACTTCTGCTTTGCTGCGTGACGCTGTAAGTCAGACTCGCATGCCTGTCTGTCCATCTTCGTTTTGTCGAGGTGAAGTCTCCAGGAGTCCCTCTGGGACAGCCTGCAGATTAGCACCCAGGGCAGGAAATGGCTGAACGCCAGGCCAGGGTAGGCCAGAGAGGCCCCTGGAGCCCCCCTGGTGGAGCTGGGCCAGCCCTACAGTCCTAAGGCTAGGGTCTGGTACCTGCTCTTTGCCTCCAATGTCACTCTACCATTTTTCAAATTAGGCTTCTAGAGCCAGGCCTGTCGCACACAGCTAGAACCCCAGGACCCCAAAAGGCTGAGGCAGGCCACACCGGGCCAGAAGCCCATCAGATGCTGCCTTGTATCCCCGAGTGCACTTGAGCAGGAGGAAGCTGGCTCTCCAAGCACTCAGGAAAGGCTGCTCTTCTCATTCACAGCCGCAGCTGTCTCATGCAGGAGTCACTTCCTCAATGCTTAGCGTACTATGCTCTGCCAGAAAATCCTCACAACAGTCCCAGAAAGAGACCGAGAAGTGGGATGGGGTGGTGGTGATGCAGTTTTAACCTCAGCTCTTGGGAGACTGAGGCAGGAGGATCACTGGGGATTTGAGGCCAAATTCACATAGTACAACCCACTCAGCACAAAACAAAAACAGGAATGGGGATGTAGGTCTGCCATAACAAAAACCTGAGGTGTTCCACAAGGGTCCACGATGTGCTATGGTCACCCCCACTGTGTTGGTGGCTCCTCCTTTAATCAAGAAAAGCTTAGTTTCCTTTATGCCCAGCTCCAGCACTCTTTTTTTTTGTCTTTTTCTTTTTTATCGGTACCAGGGATCGAACTCACGACTGCCTGCTTGCAAGGCAGGTGCTTATGCCACTGAGCTAAATCCCCAGCCCCAACTCCAGCACTCTTGATACACGAAGCCAGATTGGGAAAACTGCAGGGGTCCAGGAGCAGAGACAGGCACAGGGCCTACAGTAGAGAGGGAGCAGGCTGAGCACCCTCAGGACTGTGGAGGAGAGACAAGACAGCCACAGCAGCACCTCCTCTAGGCTGGGCAGGAGGCTAACGGGCAGGTGCATCAGCAGACCACTAGACCTGCACTGTGGCCAACGGGGCCCCCATCTTTACTGCCACCCCTACCAGGCTTCTCCTCATCAGCTCAGTGAGCCTCTTCAGTTGAGCTTTGTGACCACAGTCTCCAAGTGGCTGGCAAGTTGCTTCTGCTGACTTTGATTCCTCTACTGTTAGTGAGAGGAAGGTTTCCGTTGTAGTCATTTTCTATGTACTACATTCGGCAACTAAATCCTTGACAGGTAACACTTATAAATCAAATTTTTTTTTTTTTTTTTTTTTTTTTTTTGCGACAGGGTCTCACTGTTGCCCAGGCTGGCCCCAAATTCCTGCACTCAAGCAACCACTCTGCTTCAGCCTCCCAAGCAACTAGGACTACATATCTGTGCCACTGCTCCTGGCTTCCCTTCTTTAAGGTTGCTTAACCTAAAACAGTGTCCTATTTCTTCCCTTTACACTGCTCTTGATTCCCTACCTCTCTTGACTTATAAGCTTAAAGGAAACGTAAATAGGAAACTGTTCAAGCAAAACAGAAAAAGATGATTTTTCTTGAGCCCTGAGGGTCCAGAGAAAAGCAAGGAGTCTGGGCTGGAGACCCCTAGAGAAAATGGGGAGCTGTGTACAAGGCCAGATCCCAAAATCAGTTCAAACTCAGAAGCAGCAGGGCCCATCCCAGGGCAGTGGTGGCAAATCTCCGGCACACAGTTTGTATCGCTAAAAACTCCATGGATAAAGCATCACATGACGTTGCCCCTTCCCCTGCCAGCTCTGCCCCTCACAGCTGCAGCCTCGCAAGGAGGTGCAGAGTGTAGCAGGGAGCAGTGGGAGAGCTGGGCTGGGAGAAGTTTAATTTACATAGCAGCCAGGCGGGGTCCAGCAGGCTGGGCAGGGTATGGGACCCCAGAGGGTCCCTCAGCCCCTTCCCCTACACAGTCCTCACACGCCCTTGGGTGGGGCCCCACAATTGTGCACAGGATGCTCCAGTCAGGAGAGATTTGGGCAGAGGCTGTCCCCACGTGGGGCCTGTAAGGCAGTCCAGTCCTGGGCGCCTCCTCTGGTGGTAGCAAGGCCCTAGAGAAAGCCCTCCCGGCGGAACTGCTCCTGCAGGAGGGCACGGTACTGGTCAAAGCCGCCCTCCACGCGGGTGACGCCACCTGCTTCACACACCCACAGCTCTCGGCACACCAGGCGGATGAAGCGCTCGTCGTGGGACACCAAGATCACGCCGCCCTGCAGGGAAAGCAGGGGCTATGCTGCCAGCTGGGGCGCCTCGGCAGGAGAAGGGCAGGCATCGTATGTGCATGCACACTCACCCTGAAACTGTTGAGTGCGCGGCCCAGCGCCTCAATGGTCTCCATGTCCAGGTGGTTTGTGGGCTCATCCAGAATGTAGAAGTTGGGGCTGGAAGGCAGCAGGGTGTGGGCATGGAAGGGAGGTGGCGGAGAGGAACATAGGCTTCTGGTACTAAGACAACCCAGAGGGGGGTGGGGTCAGGGCTTTAGAAGATGGGGACTCACCAGGGCATAGTCATCTGAGCAAAGGCCACCCGACTCTTCTGGCCACCAGACAAGCTGGCGACAGGGCGCATGGCCAGCTCCCCGGATACACCGTAGCGGCCCAGCTGATGACGATATTCCTCCTCCGGCCGCCCTGTGAAGGCCCAATGTCAGTGCACCCCACCCTGGCCGGGCTGCTCCCCCTGCCCCTACCCACCCCGAGCGGCCCTGCCTAGGCTGCAGTGTCCACACCTGGGAACTTGCGTGCCAGCAGCTCCACAGCACTGACATTCAGGTCCAACTGCTCCACATGGTGCTGGCTGAAGTAGCCAATCTTGAGATTCCTGCAGAGGGGAAAGGGGGCGAAGGGAGGCTGTGCAGGAGGCCGGGGTGCGGGAAGGTGTGGTGGTAGCCTGCGGGGCAGCTTACCTGTGGGCGTGCCTGATGCCACGGACTGGTGCCAGGTCTCCCAAGAGCAGCTTCAGCATGGTAGACTTCCCGGCCCCATTCTCCCCAACCTGCAAGTGGCCACAGTGGTGAGGGTGCAGGGTGCAGAGGGAACACAGTCCTGGGCAACTGTGTGCACAGGCGTACCAGACACACCCTGGGGACCCCACCCAGCACTATGACTGACATCTGCCCCTGGGAGAGATGGTTGCTTCCTCCTTTAAGGGAGAGCAAAGTGCTTGGTAACCCAGCCGGCCGATGGTACAGCCCAGACCTGAAATGTCACCCTGAAACCCAGGCTCCAGCCCCAACCTAGCTGAGATAACTCGGAACCAAGCTTGGCAAGGTGAAGTGCTGCTCTAGGACCTGTGAGGTACCCACACCAGCGTTCCCATCCTGAGAGTGGTGCTGTGGGCCTAGGACAGGTGGGGATGGACCCTACACATGCGGTCCCGGGGGCCTGTCCCCTGTGGCTCCAGCAGCAACCCTAACCATCGCCAGGACACAGCAACCATACCACGCATATGCGTGATTCCAGGTCAGCAGAAACTGACAGGCGACTGAAGATGATGTGCTGGGGTTCGTAGTAGAAGTCCACCTCATCCAGCTGCAGGACCGGCGGGGAGAACTTCTCAAACCCATCTGGGAACCTGAGAAGGTGTGGGTGAGGAGTGGGGCAGGCACCAGCTGGGTAAGAGCTCGCCCGCCTGGCCCAGCACTTACTTCATCACCACCTCCAGCTCCTTGTCCACCGGCTTCAGCTCTGGTCTGAGGGGAGAGACCGGCGGACTAGATTAGGGCTTCAGAAAAACATGGCAACTGGGTGACGGCTCCGTGGTGGAGCCCTTGTCTAGCATATATGAGGCCCTGGATTCCGCCCCCAGCTCCCCAAAAAATAGTAAGAACCTTAAAATGCTGTTATGCCAGTAATATATGCTCAAAGAGCAAGGCTGTTTCCTGTTATCATCATCCTGAGAGTCCACAGTTTGAGTTTTTTTTTTTTTCTTTTTCTCTTTCTCATTGGCACCGGAGATCGAACTCATGACCTCCTGCTTGCAAGGCAGGTGCATATGCCGCTGAGCTAAATCCCCAGCCCCGAGAGTCCACAGTTTGAGTTCACTAACTGCTGAAAAAAGTCACCTTTCTTGTAACTTTTAAAGAACTTTTATTCATTTCTGTGGGCAGTGCTGGGGATGAAGCCCAGGTCCGCAGGCATGACAGGCAGATACGGTCCTACTGAGTGGCACCCTGGCTCTCTGTGAGCTTTTCACCTTTAGCTAATGAATACACTGCAATGTCCCCATCACTAGCCATAGGGAATGCTAATTAAAGCCAGAGAACCTCCCTGTAAGCCGGACATGCTGGCACATGCCTGTCATTCCAGTACTTGGGAGGCTGAGGCAGGAGAACTGACAAGCATTTGAGACCAGCCTGGGCTCCATAAGGAGCTCAAGACATAGAAAATCTCAAAAAAAAAAAAAAAAAAGATCTCACAATGACCACTTCACACCCAAACAGGACAGCTAAAACTTTAGATAAAGCGTTAACACTTAGTGTTGGCAAAGATGTGGAAAAATCGCAACTCTCTATAACACTCCAAGGAATATAAAAATAGTGTCTTTACTTTGGGGATTGAACTCATAACCTCGCACTTGTCAAGCAGGTACTTATGCCACTGAGCTAAATCCTCAGCCCTAGAATCTATTCTTATACACACACCTAGGTAAAATGAAAACATATGGCCACCCTAAAACTTGTACACAAGTAATGTGTGTGTGTGTGTGTGTGTGTGTGACCATGAATTGTAAGCACTTGTGCTGCTGAGCTACATCCCCAGCACACAAGTAGCTTTTCTTTTTTTTTTTTTTTTTGGCTTTTTTCGACAGTCTCACTATGCAGTTCAGGCTGGCCTTGAACTCACTTTGTAGCCCAGGGTGGTGTCAAACTTGCACTGATCCTCCTGTCTCAGCCTCTGAGTGCTGGGATCACAGAAGTGCGTCACCACGCCCGGCAAGAGCATTTTTTGGATAAAAATGAGGACAACAGTTGATGAATCAATAAACTAAATGTCGTACAGCCACACATCCAAGTACTCATGCATGCCACAAGGACGATTCTGGAGAACACCCGGTGAAAAAAGCCAGACAGGGCCAGGTATTTAGTTCAGCAGCATAGCGCCTGCCTGACAAGTGCAACATTGTGAGTTTGATTCCTGATACCAAAAAACCCCAGTCAGATACCAAAGATCAGACTGCAGGGTTAACCCTCCAGGAACAGTGCAGAACACTGCTTTCCAAGGAAGGGGAGGGCATCAATCAAAGTAGGCTCTGGCCAAGTGAGGGCCTGGAATGGGGGCAGGGGTAAGAAGTAGCCTGCAAAATCAAAGAAGAAATGGCTGGTGTGGTAGTGCACACCTATAATCCCAGCACTCTGGGAGGCAGAGGCAGGAGGATCACAAGTTTGAGCCCAGTCTGGGCAAGTTAGTGAGATCCTCTCCTATAAAAAAAGGGCTGGGGATATAGTTCAGTGCAAAGACCCTGGGTTCAGTCCCCAGTACTGCCAATAAAAAACCCTACCAAAACAAAAACAAACAAAGAGGAAGAAATGAAGGGCCAGGAGGGGTCAGAGCCTGGCCATGCACTGTACTCACAGCTTCTCCAGCATCTTGAGTTTACTCTGCACCTGAGAGGCCCTGTTGGCATTATAGCGGAAGCGGTCAATGAAAACCTGTGGGAGGAGGGTGACGCTGCTCAGGCTACCACCCTACCTGCTCCATCACCCATGGACGCCCCCAGCCCGGCCTGCCCCGCACCTGGATGTGCTGGCGATACTGCTGCTGCGCCTCGTACTCGCGCTGCTGATTGAGCAGTCGCTCCTGCTTGCTCTTGATGAAGGTCTCAAAGTCTCCCCGGTAGCCATCCAGCCGCTGGCTGTGCAGGTGGATGATGTCTGTAGCGATGGCATTCAGGAAGTTCCGGTTGTGAGAGACGACTAGGATTGTGGAGGGCCATGTCTGAAGGTTATAGGATGGCAGTCAGCTCCCAGGCCCCCAAGGATCCTGGAAGCTGACTTTCCTCCAACCCACTCCAGAACCTTTCCTTAAACTCACCTGCAGGTAATTCTCCAGCCACAGGATGGCCCTGACATCCAGCATGTTGGTGGGTTCTGAAGGAAGTAGGGGAACACACATTTGGGATTGAAGAGCTGGAGAATCAGAAATGAAGGTGCTCTCAACCCTCCCCACCTCAGAGCCAAGGCACCCCATTTCACACTCACCATCCAACAGCAGAAGGTCTGGCCTACAAAAGGGAACATACAACATGGGTTTTAGGCCAGTGGCTCACTGTCACATTCTAAGGCCTACCCTCTACAGGGCTCCCAACATGGCCCAGGAAACTCACCTAGCAAACAAGGCTCGGGCCAAGGCCAATCTCATCCTCCAGCCACCTGAGAACTCCCTGCAGACAGACAGACAGACTACATTAGGGGTGGGTGTTCACTGGGGCAAGCAACAGCAGAGTAACAATGTTCAGAGCTGAGATTCCCAAAGGTCACTCACCGGGTGGGCTGCTGCTGCATTTTAGGGGTAAAGCCAAGCCCAGCGAGAATGACCGATGCCCTAGGTGGGAAGAATTGAAAGATCTGGTTGGGACAGTTTATAGGATGGAAAAGGGGAAATAGGACAAAGATGGGGTAATCTGAAATACCTGGCAGGTGCCTTGTCTGCCTCAATCTCCTCCAACTTGGCATAGATTTCAGCCAGCTGTGCAGCTTCTGAACCCTCTGCCCTGAGGAAGAGAAATAGTAACCAGGTTAAGTTGGAGCTATCTAAGAGAATGTCCTGTGCCCTGCACCAATGGAAAGCAGTCCACTGGCTGCTCATTGCCAGAACAGGAATAGAACACAGGAAGGACTTGCCAAAAGGAGCCAGGAGGAGCTGATTACTAGGATGACCACGTGAATTGAGGCTGTACCAGCATGGTGGCCACTCTGTAAAGGATACTACTAGATATTCCCACCCGGGAACCCTGAGCCCGGAGCCCACACCTGCCCGCAGCTATCTGGGCACTGAGCTCCCGCTCCCGCCGCAGTAGGTCCTCTCGCACACTGTCACTCTCCAGGACGCTCTGCAAGGCCAGAGTGTCATCCCCAGCAACTTCCTGCTCCACGTGCAGCAGGGAGATGTGGGCTGGAACCCGCAGGCTCCGGGTGGCCAGCATCTTCAGCAGTGTCGTCTTCCCCAGCCCGTTCCGTCCCACCAGCCCATAGCGGCGGCCCCACGCCAGGTTCACATCTGCTCCAGCCAGCAGCACCCTGCAAAGGTGGCAGAAAGGAGTCCACTGGCATCACGGCAAGCTTAGCAGAAGTTTCCTGACATTGGCTTCAGCCCATTTTATGTTCCAGATTCTCCCTTAATTGGAAAAAGCACCCCCTCAGAGTATACCCTCACCTATCACCAAAAGAAACATCAAAGTTCTCAATTCGCACGTCATAGGACTTGTTCTTGCCAGATGACTCCAACCGACTCTCCTTTCTGCTACCTGCCTGGCTGGCTGATGCCTCTTCCAGGATGCTTAAAAGGACAAAGGGACACTTTAGGTGCTCCCATGCCCTTCTCTTCTGGCAGTGAGTGCTCTGCTGTCTTCTGAGTGCTTTTCCCTGAACTTACAGAGGGTTGCTGGTCTTCAGTGTGTCTTTCTCTGAGCGCTTCTCCTGTTTGGCTTTCAGTCGAGCTTCGGCCTTCTCTAGCTTCTTGGCATTCACTGTCTAAATTAATTCCAACACAACTGTTTTATTCTAGGATGCAGGCTCAGAAAAAACACCACAAGTAAATTCTCACCACTTACCCATGCTGATAGGTGCAAAAGTCCAGGGAAAGACAAAAGACAAAACTAGCAATCCCCTCCTCCCCAAAGATACTCTAACAGTCAGGCGCCCCACAGATAACATGCTCTTCTCTCTCTCCCTTCTCCTCACCGAGGACTGTTCCCTCTTTAGTGGTCCTGGCAGTTTCATGTCACAGTCTGCAAGTGATTTAAAAAAAAAGTCACCTTTTACCTGAGGAAAAGGAAACAAACATTTGGACTAACAAGGAACAGGCACACAAAGAGGACTCTAAAGAAACTGTTGGAGCAGGGGGTTTAGCTCAGGGGCTGGGGGTTTAGCTCAGCGGCATAAGTGCCTGCCTTGCAAGTGTGCAGTCCTGAGTTCGATCCCTGGTACCAATAAAAACGAAAAACATTTAAAAAAACAAAAAAACCTGTTACAATCCTGAGGATTATAACAAAAACAAAAAAAATTCCCTTCACTTATAAAGCTACAGAAGTTGAGGCACATAACTAACTCTTGAAAGTTGCAAAATCGGGGACTGGGGAGTCAAACCAAGTTTGGCCAACACAGAGCCCAAATGCTTCCTCCTCCCATAAAACCTTCCACCTCCTTCCCCTCATCATAGGCTTTTCGGCTCGCATAAACACCTCAACTGACTTTCACAACCTCTGTCCTGCGTTGCAGGGGCAGGGGACGAGGGTTGGAGGCTGAGGCAAGGCCAGAGTGCAGCTCGTTCGACCTCTGCTCACCCTTACCATAGTTCTCTGCTATCTTTGACAACTGGATGGGCGCGTCCAGAAGCACCTGGTTGTGTCCCTGGCTCTGTGGCTCAGCCCTACGTGGGTAGGGACAGAAGGCGCAGTTAGGACCCGAGGGAAATTCTCCTTGTGTATCATCCTATCTTTCCCAGTCCGGCTCTAAACCCTTTGCCCCCATCGGTCCCCACTCCCGGCACGTACAGGCGCAGGGTGTTGTACATGCGCTGACACACGGCCCTGATGCCCGCGTCATCTTTGCTGTCCCCGGACACCTCCTGCAACAGTTCCCCCACGGCTTCCACCAGGTCATCCACAGACTCGAAGTCCGCGCTGCCGCTGTGCAAGACGCCTAGGCCGGGTGTGGCAGGGCGAGGGAGATACCGGGAAGGGCGGACAAACAGCCACTCTCAGCGCCCAAATCGCGGCCCCTGATCTGGCACCAGACGCAACGGCCCCTCAGAACGAACGGTCACGCAGAAGAGAGGCCCGGCCGCGGTCCCCAGCACCGCCCCCTCCTGAATCTTCCACCCGACCTCCACTTCAGCCTCCGTAGCCTATTGGTTCGGTTTGGCTCACCGGTCACGTAGTCGAAGACTTGTCCGTCAATTTCGGGGAACTCGCTCCGCAAGATTTCAGCGCAAGTCGCCATGTTCCAGTCAGGACCCTGTCCGCGCAGTCGCCGTGAAACGACGGCCGAGACCCGCCCCCTACTCCGCTCCTCGAAGCTCGCCCTTCCTTCCAAAGCGCATGCGTATCGGTGACGTAAGAAAAGCCCGGAACCCGCTGGGCGGGGCGAACGAGGTCGGCCGAGCTATGCGCAAGCGCCCATCAGTCTAACCCGAGCCGCCTTTTCTGCGCCTGCGCGACCCCACTGCCCAGGAAAAACGAGCTGCGGGCGCGGTTCTCAGGGCCTCCTCGGAGGCGGAGATCCCGAGGCGAAGGGTGGGGAGTGGAGTGGGCACGCGAGGTTTATCAGGGCGGGGAGCCTTAGTGGTCCCGCGGATGGGGCCAACCCGGTGACCGGCGACTGATAAAGCACATTGGCTTTGCTAGGTTTTAAAAGTTGCCTCGAGGCGCGTCTGCTGCAGTACGTCCAGCCAGGCCCATTGTGCAGCCCGCGGAGGGCTGTGCTGACTCACTGCAGCCCCGGCTCACAGCTGGAGCACCCAGGGCTCAGCCCTGTGCTTCCGCGGGTTTCCTTCAGACCTCACCCACCCCCCCTCCCCGCGCGCCAAGTGGGCGGTCCTTTCCCACTTAGTGACAGCCAGCCAGAGCCATGCAGGCCATTCAGTTCTTCCACCCCCGCAGGTTACAGGCTCTCCCACTGCCGAAGGCCACAAACCCAGACAGATAGACGTCTCGGCCTGTGTGTACTCTCTCTGCCCCTAAAGCTGCATCCCGATTTCAGTAAAAGGCCTTTCCCCCAAGGAATGACGCTACTGTGTTATGTATTACACAAAGATCCTAACAGTTGGCATCTAAAATTACATCATTATCCACACATCCTTTTGGATTAAGCATTAGCACAGCAAAGACCAGTCCTGGATTTATAATTGATTGACTGCTTTTTTTGATACAGGGTCTTGCTGTTTTAGTTCCTGGTGGCCTGGAATTGTGATCCTGCTGCCCCACCTCCCCAGTGCTGGGAGTACAAGTATGCACCAGCGCACCCAGCTGCTAATGTTTAAAGTTTAAAAACCTATTGACTTTCTACATCTAATAACCATTTTACAGGAAATACAGGTACGGAGGATGGTGTTACGTGGACCTCAGAGGGAAGCGACAGGCAAATTCTGATAGGGAAACTGCAACTCTAGGAACAAAAAGTATCGGTTCTGAGGTGAGAAGAAAAGTACTTTTTAGTATATTTTAACAAATATACTAACTACTCGCAAAAGATCCTATTTGGACACAGGTCAGGGAGAACTTCGAATGATTCCTGAATTAAGGGAATACACATTGGATGTGATGTTAAGGAACTGGTCCTAAGGTGGAACTGCTAAAGGTGGAGGACAGGACTGGGGGTTCATTATATTATTCTACTTCTGTTTATGTTTGAAATTTTCTCCTCCTAGATCTGTCTTAAAGAGCTGAAACCAAGCAAGGGGAAACTGGAGAGGGCAAATCTGCTCTTTTATCTGTTCCAACACATTCCCCTCAGGGACTAGCTCCCTACCATATTTTTCTTGGGAGAGGCATATCTGTGGGAGGTTTTCTAACATGGGGAAAATAAAATCCCCCTCTTGCCAAGACTAGAGGAAGGCTGGCTAAGTGGGGAAATAAACAGATGAAAAGCCTAAAGCAGACTTTGATTTATGCTCATTAAAAAGTACATCCAAAGAGCAGGAAGGAGAAAGAATCTGCCCGCAGGAACCTGGGCTGGGGCTGCTTGCCCCTCGGGCTGTTTTCTTGTTGGAGCCAGGAGACCTGGGTCAACACTTCTGAGAAGGGTCTGGATGGCTCAAGACAAGGGAAGAACTTGGACAGCATTAGTGGTGGAGAATTCCACTCAAAGCAGGCCCCTAGAGAAAGTTCTGGAAAGCCATCCCATTAGTTCCTTGCCCCTGTGGCTCCCATATGGACACTTAGCCAACAATTCAGCTCTACAGAGTTTATTGGGTTTATAACTGGACGAAATCACACGTGTACAAAATGAAGCTCACACTATCCCAAAGCAGAGTAGGGATTGAAGACTGGGGATCTGTTACTGGCCTTAGGGGGGCTCTGAGGTGAGGGGCAGCCAACCCTCCCACGCCAGAGGTGTGGCCACAGGATTGGGGAGGACAGGGGGCCCATCTGGCTTTGGTCACAGAACTCAGAGCCTGGCACTGGGCCAGGACAGACGGATGGACGGAAGAGCAGGAGCCCCAGAAACCGCCCTGCCAGGGGAGCCCAGGGACGGCTCTGCCAGTCCCGCTTGCGATGTGGGTGGTCCAGACCTAGACTCAGGGGCTGGTGCAAAGGGAAGGCAGCAAAGCGGGAGGGAAGAGACATGGATGCGTTGTGACCCAGGGCACCCAGACCCGTGGAAGAGGCTGGGTGGAAGGTGGGCTAGCTGTCACTAGGCAGCTAGCAGCGTGTTTCGTAAATGCCACTACGGCCAATGTAGCGCACCCATTTGATGACATCGTGGTCGCTGTAGTTCAGCTTCGGTTCAAACACCTTCAAGTAGCGTACCTTGAGGCCAGAGGGCGCAAATGGCACCTGGGCAGGGGACAGCTCCGGTTAGGGATGTGACTTTCCTCTCACAGCTGCTTTCTTCTGGCCTACCTCAATCTACTGCATGGGTTTGATTATCTAGGGTCCTGAACGAAGCTAGGGAAGCTGGCCGGGATGGCAGGGAGCTCTCTAAAAGGATACTAGAAAAATAAGCATACCCAAGAGTAACTAGCAATCATCTGGGGTTTGAAGTCAGGCCTGCCTTTGGATAATTTGAATCAATTCCTTTAATCAGCAGGATGCCTTAGAACATACTTATTCTGCTCAATATTATGGACTTGAAAAGTAAGGTAGAGAAAATTATATGTCTAAATGCACAAGGCAAAGTCAGCTTACTGTCCTGTCTGAAACTTGCTATTTTACCTGGCATTCAATCTAAATTTTTCCAAAGAACTGTTTTGTGACAAGTCAAGAGAAGTCAAAGTGTTTCTCAGGGTGTTCAGTAATTTCTCGTAAGACTTAAAGGGAAAAGAAAGGGCCTATGAATTAGTCACAGTCCTACTGTAGGCCTCAGTTTCCTTTTCTCTAAGGTGCACAGCTGATCTGAGTGCTCACTCAGACCTTTCCTAGCATACCCTGTGCTAGTGCTAAGCCCCTCTTCTGCCATACCTCAAAGTTCATGGAAATGGGGGGTCGAGCCCATTTCTTCTTGTCGTTAGTGGGCAGAAGCTCAATCTCTGCGCTGATCTGCGATTCCTTCATGCCTGCCATGCGCTTGATCCTGGAAAGACAGGCAATGGGCAGCAAGTTCCTGTGAAAGCTTGGAGGAATTTCTGTGGGGTAGTGGACGGGTCCCCATTTCAAGCAAGGAGAGAGCCAAGGCACTTAAGGGAGGTGCTAGCATGAGGAAAATTGGTCAGGACCCTGAAAACCAGCTGCTGTGAGGCTGTAGGTCTGTCCCTTGCCCCTTTGGCACCTGAGGGCTGCAGTTTCTGGTTAGACAGATGCATAAGCTACCTCTTGCACTTTGTCTGTTTTGCAGATTGCCAATGATGCATGTGTGAGCCTCATTGCAGGTATGTGTACACACGTGCACATACATGTGAAGGCTGACACAAGCAGGGGCACACTCCTGCCTACCAACCCACACTAGGGGACAGCAGGTGAATGTGGTACACTATGAGCCTGGCCACGGCCCCACAGGAAAACTCACTTCCACACGATGGCGTTCTCGCTGGCCTTGTACTTGGCCTTCCCCTTCATGCAGATCACCTGCACGCCACTTGTGTTCAGAGGGGTTGGGATCCTCACCTAGGAGTGACACAAGCCGCCTTAATTCCTGGAGACAAATTCTCCCTCCTCCCCAATCCCCTTAACCTCACCTCAATCTTCTGGGCCAGCAGTGAAGGCTTGAAGTTGGACTTGATCACGACCTTGACCTCCAGTTTGGTGCGTCCTACTTCCCGCACAAGTGGGATCACCCGGAAAGGGAGGATGATGTCCTTGGTGGTGCGATACCTTTGGGAATGGAAAGCATAGTTAGCAACACATAGCAGGTCCCACTTCCTGCCCCTGTAGCACCCCTACATCCACACAGCATCCTGGCACCTCATTAGCTCAAATTCTCCATCTGGTGGGATGAAGCTGATGCTGCGTTCCGAGTCGAACTTGCTGAGTCGCACACACTGGTGGAAGGTGCAATCATCAATGGCGATTGATTGCTTCCCGCTGTGGGCAGAAGCAGCATTAGATCAATCTTGGTCAACATGGGAATGGCAAGGGTCAAGCTGGGGGTCTGCCCCGCACCAAGCTAGCACTGTGGGCTATGGAAAAATGCCAGAATGCAGCTATCTAACTTGGAGATCGCTGCCCCAGAGTTCAAGGTGAGGAAGCTTTACAAGGCTCATCATTTCTTGAGATTCAGCCTGCACAGGACTCAGAGGTTTCAGGCTCAGGAGGTAAAAGGTCATCAGGATGCTCTCTGAGAATAAGCTAATGACAGTCCCTTCATCTCTCTCGTCACTGATTTCAAATGTAACCAGCCAAGCACACAGTTAGAAAAAGAATCTGCAGTTACAGTGGAAATCCAGAAGGCACCTGCAAGTCACCAGCCCCAGTGAACACTCCAAGGCCTACCCACTCTTGCAGCTCCCCTGTGTCAGGTACCTCTTGCTTGTTTCATCAGCTGTGCCTTTGCCCTGCTTTTCAATGACAATCTTGTCATTCATCCCGAACTTGCACTCGGGCATGCCACTTAGGTAGCTCTTCATTACCACCCGGCCTGAAACATGGGCGCTCAGCACCTGCCCTGGTGACAGAAGAGATGAACAGGGAGCAGCTGGGTTAAGCATGCAGGCTGGGGTCCCCGTCCCCTCTTCGGCTTCACCAGAGGGCCCTCACCCTGTGGGGACATGAGCAGGTTCACACTCTCCAGCACGTCCAAGAAGAGCTCATTCCGGCGATACTTGATGCCCTCCCGCCGCCAGCCAATCTGCCCGGTCACCTGGCTGGTGATCTGGGACTGCTCCTCTTTTGTCTACATGGCAGATGGAACAAATGGCAAATGGTTTCACTCTTCTGCCTTCAATCATCCCAT